AAATCAAAGATGTCGCCACTATTATCGAAATTGGAATTAAAAAAGTCTGTACTATCGATCTTGATTGAGTTGGGTAATCGGTTTAGCATCCCCTTAAGCGGCGGAGAATTGTTTACTAAATTAGATCTTACAGCAACGTATAATCAGTTGGAGGTTACTGAGGAAATTAGTAAGCTACTTGCTTGGAGTACTCATAAGGGTTTTTTTTTTATTTGCTTAAGAGGTTATTCTTCGGAACCAAACCAGCGTTTGCAATTTTTTAGTGGACCATTGAAAAGGTTTTACAAGGTATTAAAAATGTAATTAATTTTATAGACGACATTGTGCGTGTGCGCGCGCGCGCGCGCGCGCGTGTGTGTGTGTGGTTAGAGGTACTAACAAAGAGGAGCATTTAAAAAATTTGGAAGAAGTATTTAGGCGTCTTTCAGAAGCAGGATTCAAGTTTAATTTAAAAAAGTCAGTATTTTTTCAACCTGAGATTAAGTACTTGGGACATATCATAAATAAGGAAGGATTGCATAAGGATCCCGAAAAGGTAGCAGCCATGATAGAAGCACTGAAACCCAAAAGTGTAATGGAAGTGAAGGCTTTTATTGGCATGGTCAATTATTATGGTAAATTTGTATCAAAATTGTCGCAAGTATTAACACCCTTGTATGAGCTTAGTAAAGTATTGTAGTAAAGTATTTAAATGGACGCGACAGTGTGATGAAGCATTTAAAAGTATTAAAAGCGAACACTCGTTTCAGAAAGAAATTTAATTTATTTTAATAAGGATTGGAACTTAGAACTAGTCTGCGATGCGTTAGAGGTGGGCATTGGAGCTATATTGTTGCATATTTTGCCAGATAATACAGAAAGGCCTGTTGCATTCGCGTCTAGGATTCTTCACGAAGCAGAAAAGAACTACTCAGGTATACACAAAGAAGCATTGGCTATTTATTGGGCCGTGAGTAAATTTTACCAGTATTTGATAGATAACGAGTTCATTTTGTGTTCGGATTATAAGTTCGGATAATGGCCTTATTTGGAGATTATAAAGGCATTCCACAAATGGCGGCAGGTAGGCTGCAAAGCTGAGCCTTATTTTTAAGTGGCTTCCGATACAAGTTCGAACATATTAAAGGCACTAACAATGGAGGACCTGATGGCTTTTGTCAAGATTACCTAGAGCAAGTAAAGTTAAAGAAGTAGAAGTAAAGGATTATTTTTATTTTATTACGGCCGAGCGCACATCTATTGACGCAGTGCAGATTAGGAAAGAGTTAAGAAGAGATAAAATATTAAGCAAAGTTTATTTGTATGTAAGAGATGGATGGCCGGAAATGGTGAAGAGGTAAAAGTATGCTAGTAAGATTAGTGAAATCAGTATAGAAGGGAAAATGTTAATGTAGAGACATAATAATTGTACCGTCTAAATTTAGGAAAGCTCTGTTAGAAGAGCTACACGGAGCTCATTTAGGTATAGCCAAAATGAAGGCGGTGGCTAGGTAATACTTTTGGTGACCTAAGATTGATAAAGAGATAGAAAGTTATGTTAAGGAGTGTAAAGCTTGTAGAGCTACTACAAGTAATCCTAGTAAATCACCATTAATCAAATTTTCAGAATTTCCTTTCGATAGAGTTCATATAGATTTTACAGGACCTTTTAAAGATAAAACGTATTTAATTGTTATTGATGCATTTACTAAGTGGCCAGAAGTATTTGAGATGTCTAGTATGAGCGCAGAAGGAACTATTGAAAAGCTAAAAGAATATTTTGCTCGTTTTGGTCTTCCTCATATGATATTTTCGGATAATAATAGACAATTTGTATCGGAGGATTTCGCAAACTTTTGTAAGAATAACGGTATTAACCACAGAACATCGGCTCTATATTTACCAATGGGTTAGCGGAAAATGCGGTAGGTAATTTTTAGCGAGGATTGTTAAGAGCGTTAGTGAATAAGCAAAATGCGTTGTTAAGCGTAACTACAACCTTAATTAATAGATGTCTAGCTTCATATAGGAACGCACCGCATACCAGCGTTGGAGAAAGTTCAGCTAAATTAATGTTTGGGCGCGAAGTAAGGACTAGATTAAGTTTGTTGATAAGGCCTGAGAGGGAGAAGGCTAGGGAGAAGCAGGTGCAATATTTCAAAGGAAACCGAGAAATTCAGTTTGACGTAGGAGTTGTGTATGTAAAAGATTACAAGTATCCAGCGAAGCCGATGTGGCGTAAAACTGTTATTAAAGATAAGTTAGAAGCTAGAATATTTATGTGAAACTCTAGACGAAGAAGGGTTAACATGGAAAAGACATGTAGAGCGGATTGTGAAGGCAGGAGATTTTATAAGAAGGAGGAAATTTATTTAAAACAGAATAAAGAAGAGAACAAAGGAAAGGAAATTTCGAAGATGTTAGAATTTGTTAAAGAATCGGAGAGTGAAGATAAACGATATAGCGATATAGACCGAGAAGAAGTAAAGACTGTTGTTAGCGTAAGAGATGTTTCCTAAAAGGAAGATTAAACAAGTTGAGAAACTTAATTTATAAGTAAGGGTTAGGATATAAATTATTTTAAGTATTTCCTTATTTTGTCGGGGAGGAAATGTGATGTTCAGCGTAGTGATTTTAGTTACTGTAGATTGGCACTACTGATGTAGCAGCGTGCGCCCGTTGTTTTTCTCCTATCTTTTGTATCTTATTTGAAACTATCCGTTACTCTGTACATCTTCGTCAGTTAACAGTATTAATAAATATTAAGTGGTACGTCCCGCATTGTCATTATTGCCCTGAAAATACCCATAATAACATATGTCAAGGTCAAGATCATCGGAACAGGCTCTCTCTATCGGTATATTTACCAAAAATAAATCTAATATTAACTGTACTAAATCGTTTGTATTCAACTTTTTAGCAGAAGATACATGTATGTTCACAAACTTCACATGTACACATGCACGTACGCACGTATCCATGTACATACTTTTCATGAAAAATAAAAATTTAGAAAAATTTTTTTACAATTTGAAAAGAATTTAAATATGTATTTTTTCAATACAATAATAATCAATTTGTTAATTGTATTGAAAAGGGAATGTTTATATTCAAGGATTTTGTCTTTATTATATTTTAATATATATATCTTTTTTATTTTGTCTATTTACATTTTCAGATGTAATCCTGAAGTAAGCGTGCCACCACCATTAAATCAATTAGTAATAGAAAATATGTTAAGATTGCCTGGACTTAGCACAGATACGTTATTACAAGCCATTAAAGGAAATACTTTTGATCATGTATCAGCTATATACAATTTACTTGTTGATCGATTAGAACCAACAATGCCTAATTTACACAGTATTCAAAGTATACCAGGTGATTATTTGCCAGATGGTGCACATCAATTAGAGAAGGTAATTACATTATTTTTTAAAAAGGGACAGATTTTACTTATTTGTCCCCTTATTTGGTTTGCTTATCTTTATTTTTACAGGTACTTATTTGGTTTGCACAGTAAATTGTGTAACTTAGAAGTACACTATTAACTTATTACACACAATTTTTATTTGTTTTATTTAATTACGCTTTGCTTTGTCACTTCGTCGTTATTATATTATTAATGTAAGTTTTTAATTAATTTTCTATTAAAGTATGATAGTTTTATGGCGATTGTTTAACATTTCAGTTTAATTTCCGATTTATGATTTAAGTCTACGACACACGATGCTTCCTTTTCTGCAGGATTTTCTGCGTGTTTGCTGCCGTGTTGGTAATGGTGTTGGCAGTACTGCTGGCTGTATTGCTAGTTTGAATTCAGACGGTACGAGTTTTTGTGCTGGCTGAGGAGCTGGAATTTGGTTGATAGAAGACACTCAGCAGAAGTATTCAAATAAGTAAATATAGAGTAAATAATTACTATGATATATTATCGCAAAAGTGATGATTACATTGTTTTTAATTATTGCGAAGAGAATACTATAATCACATGACTTATGATTGCGTTCTGATTAACTCTCACGAGCCAGCACAAAATCATGTAAGAAAAATAACACCTGGCCTATTATGAAAATTGAGCAGATCAACTAGCAACATAGCCTGTAAGCCACACAATTTCCAGCAGTTAGTAAGATCGCCAACATTGTAGCATGCAAGAAGCAGTCCTGTAGGAAAAAATGAAGCACTGAGTGATGCAGGTTTTAAGTATTCTGCCAAATACTAAAGACGTTTATTGATTTTTTATCTTTGGACATTAGATTTATGCTTTTTGGTTTGACAACGTTCCATATTTATTTATTTTGACAATTTTATAGGTTTATTATAAAATGAAATAATTATTTTTTGTTAACTTGTTAGTACTATATTGAAGAGGACCCAAATCAAGGGTCGAAACATTTATAACCTTATTTTATTAATATACTTTTTACACACGAAGTCTAATGTTGGCTCTCATGGGCTCTTCTTTTAATTTATAGATCTAATTTTAATATATATATTTATTTTAATGTATGTTACTTACTCATCATGTTATTGTTTTAAGCGATAGTTTTGTTTTGATAGGTACTTTTTAATAAGATTTTTTTAATTAAGATTATTATTTCAATTAAGTATAATATATGATTGCTTTATAATTTTTAAGAATTTGGATAATATTATCATTTATAAAAGAAATTAATAATTTTAATCTAATATAAAGGCTATAGGAGTCAGCGCTGAGTGTATTAAGCGATAATTTTTCCAAAGATCAAATATACTATTTAATCCGCATATCAACCTT